TTTCCGACATCTAATATATCAATGGATAGCCATTGTTACAAAAAGACAATGAAAAAAAAAAATCAACTCAAATAGAGTTTGTATGAGAATTTTATAAAGGATTAACGTTAGAGTTTTTTCATAACTTTCACTAAATAGCCTACTTTTGAGCTAAAAAAATTATGAATTTCCTTCATCTAAATTTGAAGTGTAATATGTCAAAGAAATCCCTTGTTGTAAAGAATATAATGAAAAAAAATCAACTCAAACACAGTTCGTATGAAAAATTAGGAATGTGAAATTGGCAAAAAAAATATGATTTTCATAGACACATGTGAAAATCATGGCTATTTTTGGCGTTTTGAAAATTTTATGTACTTTGTAGAAAACCTTGGAAAAATGACCATTATGGTCGTTTTCTCTATTTCTTTATTATAACATCGATTATATACACTTTATATAATTTTCCTATAGTGAGATAAATGAATGTTTTATGTTTATTATGATATTTTCCTCAAATGAACATTAGCTTAAAAATATAACGGTTGTTCGAGTAGGAGATGGTTGGCAAGATATGACGTTAATATACTCTAGAATCTGATATCGTACGTTTCGGACTAGAAAAATGTATTGCAGAATATAATCTGGAATGTACAATCGTTATGATGTATTGTACTGTTACGAATTCAAAGAAGTAGGGTATTTCTATAGCCATCGTTTCTCCATTACTCCCATTTGAATAATTTCTACATATATAGAGCATATCTATTATAGAAAATGAGTGTGAATAAATCAATATTTTGGAGTACGTGTTAGTAGCGGAAGGAAATGGGAGTGAATCGAAGAATATGTGCACTATATTTCTCAACACTACACATGTTATGGTGTAAATTTAACCACTCATATCAACTTTTCTGGGTTGGTTGTATTGGTTAGTTCGAAGTCCATGTTACATGTTCTAGATCAAATATAATTATACATTATTGATGTAATATATTTTATGTGTTATAAATTGTATGCCTCCGAACACAATACAATTGTTTGTTATTAATCATATTCTCGAAAATACCGTTAAACAATTTATCAGGGAAAATCGATCTAGTGGTAACTGTAGACATGACAATCGTGTCATGTTCGGGTTGTCATGTCGCGGGTTGGCTGGTCAAAATATGCCAACCCAAACATGACCCATTTAAATATACAGGTCACGAGTTAGCGGATCACATGTTGGCGTATTTGGAACATAAACTCATATACGACCCACCAACCCATTTATTTATACGGGTTCACAGGTTGATGAGCTCGTGGGTCAGATTTCGGTTCATGTGTCAGATTCTATAAATAAAATTGACAATTAAACATGAATAAATTTTTGATGGTTGATGCAAACATATCCGAATTTTAGACACTTAAGTCTTAAACATCCAAATGAAAATTAAAAACATTTACAGAAACATGTTCAAACTAAACATTAATACAAACATAGATAATTCAAGTGCTCACAATTCCCATTTTTTCTACCAAAAAAACAAAGTCAATTCTCCAACATCATTTCTATACTTGATTTCGATCATAGAGTAACAAAGGGGAGAGTGAGACTATGGGTGACCAGGAGACTGGAAGTCTGGAAGAGAGAGATACGCTCATACACGATTTGATTTTGAGATTATTTTAGGACAAATGGTCAAAATGGTTACAGACTTAGCCTTACAGGTTACGACTTACGATCTTAGGCCATCCACCACGAGTCAAAATGTCAAAACAGTCAAATGATCTATGAATCAATGGTATATATATATATATATATATATATATATATATATATATATATATATATATATTATAATACTTCTTAAATATAAATACTTGATACATAAATACATTTAAAAATAAAATATTTTTTTAAGAAACTCATATATGACCCATTTAATAAACATGTTGGTGAGATGAAAAACTCAACCCAAACCCATTTATTTCGTGTCGTGTCGCGGGTTGTGTTGCGGGTCCTGTCGATAGTTGTCATCCCTAGGTAGTTGGTCACCTGGTGCTGGAAGTAACCAATTATGTAATCTATTACCTATGAGACTTAATCTGGTTCCTTCTCACAACGGGAATTTAGATGGGGTTGATATTGAGTATAAATGTAAGGTCATTGATGATGATGGTCCAACATTTTATGATGATGAATCAGTAATCGATCAAACAAAATTGATGATGTTGGTTGATGATGCTAATATACTTTCATACGAAAACCCAAAGGAAAAAATCCAATGTTTCTTTGATAAGATGATGAGAAGGAAACTGAGCTCCGACAACCCCATAAGAAAAATTACACTTTGTATTTTTTGGTTTCTGAAGACACAAAAACTGCTCAATTGGGGGGGGGGGGGGTGATCCCTTACCATTGTCCGAATTATCAACTAAAAAACATAAAACTTGTGTAGCTACAATCCCTCTTCACATATAAAGATGTTATAATTTTTCAAAGGCTAATAAGATCTTAAGCTAGCATTGGTAATGAAATATTTTACTAAGGTATTTCAAATTAAAGTAAGCAAATCAACAATAGACAAGTTTGAAGTAGTTTTCTTTATAAAAAATGTAAATGACAATTAAGGGCTACAAAAGATAAGGTTACAAATACTTTTCAAGTCCGTAAATTATTGGAAATCCACACTTGCTCAAACACACAACCGTGTCTTGATCATTACCAAACCAACAAGCAAGTGTTGGTCGGTTCTTGGATGACATATTATTCAACAATATAGAAATATGTTACAGGGAAAGTAAATACATCAAACTATAAATAACCATTTTAGTGTTCATATTTCATACTAGCATGCATAGAGGGCGAAATGAATACTCTTGATGTGTTGAAAGGCTCCTTAAAGAAAAGCTTTGTAAGACTCCCTCTATTGTGTTACAATGTAAAAAATAAGAATTCAGTGACCATTAAACACACCTAAAATAACAGTTAATTTATTTATATGAGATTTTCTAATAGGAACCCTAAGGGCACATATAAGAACATTAATCAATGATAAATATTACCATAATTAAATATAAAATATATTAATTATAAGAAATATTAGCATAATTAAATGTGAAATGCATTAATAATCTTCATAGTAAATGTATTTTGAATTTAATTATAATAATATTTTTCATAATTAATACTTTTTTATGTGCCGTTAGGCACATATTTGAAAATCCCTATTTATATTGATTATTATTTATAAATCAGGTCCGTAGTTTAATTATCAATTGTATATTCCAAGTTTCCAACACATTTAAATGACTTAAAAGAAAGATATCGAGTACGATAAACCATGTCTTACGTCATAATCATATTTTACAGAACAATATCAACATATGGCCATAATATTCGAAGAGAGGCATTTTCGAAATTGATTTGTAATTTTAAAATGATGTTCCAAAATAAAATTTTCCAAAAGATATATAATTTTCAAAATATAAATTCCGGTCTTAAAGTTATTTGAAAATGCTTTATCATAATTTTTAAACGTGTTTCTGACATTTCGAACTCATTTAGATTTTAAGGAATTTATTTTCTAGCAAATAATTTTAAAATTTGTTTTTCTTTTGTAATTTTGATCTTAGTTATTATTTTTGAAGTAAATTCTGTGAAAAGGTGTTTCGAAAATTTCAAAGATATCAAATTTTTTGAGATATTTATGTTTTTTATTGTTATATTTTCAGTTTTTTTTAGAGTAGGTTTCTTTTATTCGATACATCATCAATGTATGTAAGAAGTCATCAAAACCTTCAAATGGGATGTACACATGAACATTATTCAAATTTCTCCACGGAAAAATTATTAAAACGAAAGAATCCATCCGGTTCAAGAAGTGTTTTAGGAAGCAGTTGCATGCCAATGACGAACAACATATAGTCTGTAATGTTAGAATTATGAATCGCAAAAACTCTGTCTAAATGTCTGGGTTGTGCGAAATCGAACTTTATAGTATGTTTCTAACCAATGATTTGGCCTCAGGTTAGAGTATAACACAAATGCCCAAAACCAACCGGTAAAAAGTGGGTTTACATATAAAGATGGTAAAATGATTATTTATTTCTTTATTCGATAACAACTCAAGTGAAAATATATTAGAATTTTCATGTAAGTTGTCATCTAACAAATATCTATTTATTTATTTATGTTTGAAGAATTTTTTCTTAAGATTATCATTATAAGAAATAGCCTTGATTTATGATATGTACTCATTAATTATATTAATAATTTAATATGAGTTCTTATTGCTAATGTTTGAATTGTTAGTTATTATAATTAAAGAATATAACAATACAATCACCATATCACTTATAAATATTAAATAATAATACATTTCTATTTAGAACAATGTTTTGAACTAGTTATGGATTGTTGTAGATATAATCTTCATGATCATTCAGAGTGGCTATGCATAGCTAGGTATAAGGTAGGTAGTTTTTAGGACCCATATAATTATTTTAATTTATCTAAAATTACTATAGAAAGATTTTAGGGACCTACCTTTAAAAAAAAAAGGATATATCTTACCTATAAAAATCTTTGAATTTGTATAGAAAAATATATATAGGCAAGTTAATAAATCATGTGGTTTTCTATTCTAAACTTGCCACTGATCATTCATATTGACATTTCAAGACAAATTGGTTATTATGTAAGATAATTTTTTTTTAGATTGATGTAAATATCTAAAAAATAAATATTTTTGAAGTATAATCTATAAAAAAAAAATGTTATTGCCTGAACCCAGAGGCCGGACCAGAAGCCCAAATTTGTTCAAAAGTCCATTTAAGATTACATTCTCATTATCTCATATGTGATTCTTTAAGACTTTAACAAAGCCCATTTAGGAAAAAGAAGATAAGGCCATAATCTGAACTCTGAAGGATAGAGCGCAAAGCAAACAAATTGGTTTCAATCTGAAGAATCTCATATGAACTTCGCATGATAAACAACAAGATATGTCTCTCCTTCTTCATCATCATCATCCATGTTGTAAGTTTCTGCCTCCTCTAGATACTTTCATAACCTGCAAAACCCCCATTAACAGATACATTTCTTGCCCTAAAACCCCCAAACCCTTCAATAATCTACCTTTTCTTACAAAATACTCAATCTCTAGAAACACCCATGTTGTAAATTGCTCTAATAATGAAGTCATTGATGAATTCACAAGCACTCAGTTGGACCAAACTCAAGAAAACGAGATCGAAGAGCTTGGATTGTTGGGTAAACCATCACCAATGCCCGTTATTAATGTACCTCCACAAGTTGAAAGTGAGTATATTAAGCCTCAGAAAGAGGAGGTATTAGAGCCCTTTTACAAGTTTTTTAGGGATGGTAAGTCCGCAGAAGACACTAGCGATTCAGAAGATGTTAGCGAGGAGATTTCAATGGAGGAAGAAGAGGATAAGAAGGTTTCTGTAGAGTATTACGAACCAAAACAAGGCGATTTCGTCGTTGGTGTAGTCGTTTCAGGGAACGAATACAAGCTTGATGTTAATATCGGTGCGGATTTATTAGGGACAATGCTGACGAAAGAAGTGCTTCCTTTATACGAAAAAGAGTTGGATAATTTGTTGTGTGATTTTGAGAAGAACCCCGAAGAGTTTTTGATGAAGGGCAAGATGGGAATCGTGAGAAATGAAGAGGCGTTAAGTGGTGGTCCGGTGGCTGGGCAGCCGGTTGTTGAACATGGAACAGTTTTGTTTGCCGAAGTTTTGGGAAGAACTCTTAGTGGTCGACCTTTGATTTCCACACGAAGGCTTTTCCGGCGACTAGCTTGGCATCGAGTGAGGCAGGTTCTTTTCTCAGCTTTCTTTGTTCATGTCTTCTGATGAAATTTTGGGGATTCTTTTTAGTTTCATTAACACTACGTTTGTTACAGATTAAGCAACTGAATGAACCCATAGAAGTCAAAATTACAGAGTGGAATACTGGTGGTCTTCTCACAAGAATCGAGGTTTGACTTTAGTTATCATCTTTTTTTTAATGGTGTGTGTTTATAGTAATTTGGTATAAATTTTGCCTTTTGCAGGGTTTACGAGCTTTTCTTCCTAAAATTGAACTTGTCAATCGTGTTAATAATTTCACCGAGCTAAAACAAAATGTAAGTTAATACTCCTCATATGATCATAATATGCATCAGCTACGTTCTTTTTGTTACATTAGCATATACACTTAATCGAAAATTCATGATCTATAATTTGACTATTATGCCCTTCACTCATGCTAAATCTTGATGAATTTAGGTGGGACGTCGAATATTTGTTCAAATTACACGAATAAGTGAAGATACAAACGACTTAATTCTCAGTGAAAAGGAAGCTTGGGTTGGTTTTTTGTGGGTTTTCCTTCTATTTATCTTCTATTTGTTATTATTCTTCTAATATACATATTTTTGTTACTCATGACATTTATAGAATGCAAAACACCTTAAAGAGGGAACTCTTTTGGAAGGCACGGTGAGAAAAATATTCCCCTATGGTGCGCAAATAAGGATAGGCGAAAGTAACCGAAGGTGAGAGGGTTATGAACTTATGATATCAAGTGGGCCCCATTTGATATACTGGACATGACAGGTTGTACTGCTGTTGGTATGCATTGGATTGGAACCGAGACTGATAATTACAATTTTTTGTCCAATTCAAAAATGTAAAACAAGTTGGGACATCGAGACGACACAATCAATCTCTGTGCAAAAGACATAAATGCCCTCCTCGTCCTTATAATCGAAAATAACCCTAGAAAGTCTGTCCTTTATGACAAATGCAACCCTTAATGTGTGTTATTAAGAATTTCTTATATTATTATATTCAGTGGATTGTTGCATATCTCGAATATCACTCGAGGAGAATTTGCTTTGGTCAATGACGTGCTAGCAATTGATGAAAAAGTCAAAGTTTTGGTTGTGAAGTCGATGTTCCCTGACAAGATCTCTCTCAGGTAAAAAGATGAAATTACCCCTCCATGGATTGCTCAACTTGTCTTTGAAAATTGCAATTATTCATTTCGTTTGTCAATTTTGTGGCAAACAGTACTGCAGTGCTGGAAAGCGAACCGGGCTTGTTCCTATCAAACAGAGAGGTAGTTTACATCTTTTGTTTTTTGACCAAAATGCCCTTCTTTATTATATGTGTTGATGTTGTTTTGGTTATGACAGAGGGTATTTTCGGAAGCTTCAGAAATGGCAAAGAAATACAGGCAGAAGTTACCAGCTGTTTCAACTATTCGAAAATTAGAACACCTTTCAGATGCTCTGCCCTTCAATGTTGAAGAAAATATGTATGCAAATTGGAAATGGTTCAAATTTGAACGAGATAACGAACCAAAATGACAACTATACCCTTTTCCTACTACCCTCAATCATCCACATGGTTGATGTACAAAGAAAAAAAAACAGAGTATTTCACCAAGCAATGGTGATCAAGGTGATCTTGTATTGCATTTAGGATCAATGTTGACCTTTTTACAAAAAGTCAAAAGTGTTTTAGCTTTATTTGGTGATGTATTGTTTCATAAACAAGTTATGATCTTTATTCGTATGTTGTTTGTATATTTTTTGTATTCCTTTTTTAGTATAGCTTGTAGTGTCCATTGATCAAAGGAAGTTGAAGATCATTTATTGCATTGAAGAGATCTGATGTTTGTTTGTTAACTAATTTTATGATGTTAAAGTATTTTTGCTTTCTAAGAGACATTTAAAAGAAATATATTCTGTCAAAAGATCTAGAATCTTAAAGAATTAGAATGTCATGTGTTTAGTTGGAAGAGTTTTTGAGGCGACTTTATCTACTTTAATATGGTATGCAAACAAAGAAAATTATAATGATTTTAGTTCGATATAAATCTTTAAATTTAGATTGGGCAAATGTCAAGGACAACTCATTGTAACTTGATAGGTGGATTAAGTAACGATAAAAAAGATTTAGGTCTTAATTAGTAAACTTTGCTTATATGGGCCACATAATAAGAAATGACACGTAAGCTTGAGATTGACAACATGTCAATAAAAAAACAAATAACATTTATAAACTTGTCAATAAAAAAACATGACATTTATAATGCAATTCCACATCTACCATAGAAATTCGAAACTAGTTCAATATATCATAAAAAACGACATTATGTGAAATTTATAAACATATATTTGAACATGAAGAATAAAAATTCATCCTCCATAATTTCACGATGTAAATGATATATACTCATTATCGACTTAAAAGTTAAAACACAATTGATCAACTTGTACCATTAACTACGAGTAAACCATATCAACGAAGTTAACAGACACATACTAAAACTGTAAATATAGTTATAGTTGAGGGACTATTTTGGTATTTTACTTTTATAAAATTAGACCTAGGTCTAACTTCACTCTTTCCCTCCCTCTTCGCCGCTGCCTTTGCCCCCGACTCTTCTCCCCTGTTCTTCTCTAATGGCGATTTCTTCCTCTACAACCACCCAAGCCGTCGATGCTTTGATCAAATGGAAGAACACCCAATCAGAGTCCAACAATCCACAGTTATTGCCCCAAGACGACTTCATTTACCTTATCGTCACACTCAAAAAAATCCCACAAAAAGGTGGAATTAATGGAGTTAGAACGAACCCTAATAAAATCCCTCTCCCGCATCCCCTCCTGTCTGCCACCTCTTTTTCTGAGCTCTGTCTAATTGTCGACGATAGACCGAAATCAAAGCTCACTTCACAAATCGCAAAGAAGAAGATAAAGGAAGACGGAATCTCGGTCACCAAAGTCATCAAGCTTTCGAAGCTGAAAAGCGACTACAGGCCTTTCGAAGCAAAACGCAAGCTCTGCGATTCGTACGAGATGTTCTTCGCTGACAAAAGGGTAATTCCACTTCTTCCTAAGTTATTAGGTAAACAGTTTTTTAAGAAAAAGAAGTTGCCTTTACCTGTTGATTTGAGTCATAAGAACTGGAAGGAGCAAATTGAGAGAGCGTGTTCGTCTGCTTTGCTGTTTTTTAGCACTGGAACGTGCTGTGTGGTTCGTGTTGCTAAGGTATCGATGGAGAGAGATGAGATTATCGAGAATGTAAGTGCTGCCATTGAAGGAGTTATTGAGTTTATTCCAAAGAAGTTAGGTGGTGTCAGGTCTTTGCATTTGAAGTTTTCAGAGTCTGTTGCATTGCCTTTGTATCAATCTTTGCCTGATATTAAGTTGAGAATCGAAGGACTTAAAGAACAGAATGTCGAGCAAGAATTGATAGAAGTTAAAGAATCTGGTAAGAAGAAAAAGCTGAAGAAGGAGAGAATTCATGAGGCTAACCATGATATGGAAGAAGATGAAGATGAAGATGAAGGAGGGGAGATTGAAAACAACGATTCAGAAGTCAAGCCAACAAAGAAGAGTGCTAAAGACAAGAAGGTTGCAAAAGATTCTGATAAGAAGAAAAGGAAGGAGAGTTTGGTTGAAGTTAATAATCCTACCACAGCTCCAAGCAGTAAAAAGGCAAAGAAAAAGGTGGAGGAAGTAGTGGTAGAAATTGAGAGAATGGAAGAGAAGAAAACACCAAAAAAGGGAAAGATCAATGAAGATGAAGGGGGAGAGATTTTGAACACTGAAGTGAAATCGGGAAAGAGTGCTAAAGAAAAGAAAAGGAAGGGGAGTGTTGTTGAAGTGAATGATGTTAACACAACCCCAAGTGTTAAAAAATCAAAAAAGAAAGGTGAGAAACCGAATGGAGAATCTGGAAAGAAGAAAGGAGGAAGATCAGCATCAAGAGGTTAAGTTTTTTGTTTTTAAGGAGGTGAACTTTAAGCATATGGTAATGGAATCATAGTGAATTCGGTTGATGATAGCTAAGAATTCTGCATTTTTGTTTTGTTGACTTTTGGTTTTTATGTATTTTGGTATCAGTGCAATGAACTTTAAAGAATTTTGTTGGGAGTTTTTTTACTAGTTTCATCTTAAGATTGGAATTTGCAATTCTACTTTAGCAGGTTGATTGAAGTTAGATATTCTATTGATGTTGGTTTTTGTTTATGATTTTCAATATTTTTGTATGTTTTTAATTCCAAGGTTGTTAGCTATCCTGTCCTTCCACCAGATTCTATGCAAAAAAGGTCCAATTCCACATATACCCTTTATTGATTATCAAGGAACAAATATGAGAAACCAAGTTGAAACGAAATCTGTCCTTCAGCTTCAGGTTGTTTTCGTCAAATTTAGTGTTTATTTTGCATTTATCAACAACATTGGTGTGATTACAACATAAACCCAAGTACATGGGTTCAGTTACATAAATAGATGCAAGAATAATGTCTTCAACCCTCAAAAAATCCTTCTTTGCAAGTAAAATGGTTTAATAAGAACAAAACATTAAATTTTTTGTTTTAAAAGAAATTAAGAATTAGATGAACGTGAAAGGTGAATGTGTCCTTTGATAGGTGGTGTATTTTCCTTCTTTTTTATAAACCAAACTTTGATTTTTTTAAACATATGTTTTCTCATTCAGAAAATAGCAATGTATTTATCTTTTTTACAAATAATAGCAACATATTTATATACGTTTGATGCTATAAAAGAAAGTAGAACGGCTTTTTTTAGGGATGTCCCGTGGAAAAATTGGTGTTTGGTCTAATAGTATTTTATAATTTTTTTTTCATTATTAATATCAAAATATTTCCCATTAATTACTTGATAATGTCAAGAAATCAAGGTTACCACGATAAAAAAGCCTAATGGGTAATTTAGTAAATGCCTTACCAATAATCTGACTAAGAAACTTATATTTTTAATTAATTATAGCAATATACTTTTATTGGGAAATAGATACTTATATGATCATAATGGCGATAAGGTTGCAAAGGAGTCACGTGATTTCCACAACAAGAAACTTCCATTCTATAGAGAAAATAATGTTTTGTGGACATATTAATACTGTATTTTTCATGTTTATTTATTAGGACCTTTCATTTTTTTTTTATCGACCTATAAGTGTCAAGTATTAGTAATTAAATGATCAAGTCTATAAACATCTAGATTTTCAATCGTTTATTGGTGTCTATAACAATATACATTTATTGGTATTATTATGAAAACTCTAAACAATTTAAGGTTGCCTTTTATATTAATTTTTTTTCAAGCTTTTAAGGTTGGAATAGATGTTAACAATAGCAACATACAATGATATAATGCATATGAAATATGAATGCAAAAAAATTAAGATGTTTATGTCACTATTTTCCGTACAAATCGAATTTTGGGAACTCATCAGGATGATGGAAGCAACATTTGTTTTACATCCACATTCCAAGTCGCTATTGATTTCTAGTTTATTGTGTTTTGGGGTTTTTCAAGTTCTAGACTTTTTTTCGGATCATCAAGTTTGTTTAGGTTTATTTTTTGTCCACAGAGGTAGATGTTGGTGGTGGTGGACGGTGGTTATGGATGAATATGTTTTAAAGAACAAGAATACATCTTTATGATCTTCATAAAACATGAAGACATGATTAATATATTATATATTCAAATTGCTAATAATAATAACTTTTAATCTAAGACAATTATATTATAACTTTAAAAATCCACATCGTCATGTGGACAAGTTTTGCTGACTAAAATGTTATGTGGCATGCCACATAAGCTTTCTAACCGGATAACTCATTCACTTAGATGAAAATGAGTTTATTGACAGATGATTCAAAAGTTTATACACTTAAAATGTACAAAAAATCAATGAAGGATGGCTTAAAACTGAAGCCAACAGTTTGTTGGCTAATAACGACATTATCCTTTTAATTAAATCTTAGGGTTTGATCTCCATGTCACCGCACTACAACTGGATTTCAATTGTTGGGGAGTGAAATCCCTAACAATGAGGTGTTTGATTCAAAACCTCGGCATGTTTTTTTTTGACCATGTTTGTACAGTGATCTAATTTTTCACATGATTTTTGGATTTTTTTTCTTAATTGAAAGATTTCTTTTCTACCGAGAATTTGTATTTTTTTTTTCAAAAGAAAAAAAAAAACACTATGTTTTCTCCATTAATGAGTTGCAAATACCAAATGGATGATTATTTTTTTTTGGTGAAAGTTGTTTTTTTTTTTTTTTTTTAATTCAAACTTTCACCTGCATTTTCCAACATTATTGATCTAATTAAACCATGATCATGAGCAAGTACATAAATATACCCCTAAAAGATTAGTGAATATAAGAAGTGGTGTTGTTGAAATCTATCTAGCCTTAAATAGCTTTGGAATTTCTCCATTTGAAATTCTATTTAAATGAAAAGTAGAAGATTTTTGGGTTATCAAATTATACATAGTATGATATAGTCAAAACAATATATTAAAGTACAAACCGAACATACATCTAAGATAGAGATAAACTTATCAACATATTCTTAAATCGAAAAGAAATATTCATCCAAATGGTTGAATCAAACAATTTTCAAACTCTTATAGTTTTTATGATTCAAAGTTTTATGTATATATTTTTTTAATTAAAACAAACTTCAGTAGTTAAAAATAGAAAAAAAAATGCTTTCGGTAGTTAAACTGAAAAAAAAAACCCTACAACGGTTTTTATGGAATTTTCCGATTGATTTCAGTTTGATTTTTATGAATTTTGTTTCTATTTTTCTTGATTTAGGTTTAAATTCGGTTTGATTTTGAGTTACGGTTTAAAGTTGCATATGAAATGCGATGAGGGCATTGAAAGTGTTGATGATGAATCTTTCATAATAAAAATGTTATTCTAATTGTAGTTATTTTAGAATAACACTGTCAAGAACTTTTAAATTCATTATTCTTGCCATGTAGGACGCCAACTTGCAAGTTGCAACTGATGCAATCGAAAATGAATTATCTATTTAGTGACATTTTTCTTACAACTAAACATTAGGAACTTAAAAAAAAAAACAAATTAATAATAGTTGGGAGGCCAAAATGTGAAATAAAAAATAGAGCAAAATACAACCTTTTTTTTTTTTTTTTTGCATTACATTTTCATAAAAACGATCCATGTACAACCAAACATCAACTACCATGGTTTTATTTATTATTCAGTCCTTAAGTAAATAAAATAAAAATCACTCATATATCTCTGGCTTCAAGACTCCAATGTAACCCAAGTTCCTATACCTTTCGTTGAAATCCAGCCCATACCCGACCACAAATGAATCCGGGCACTGTCACACAAATTTAAAATTTCTAATTTCAACATTCTAATTACGATCATTTAGAAACAAAACATAAATACCAATTATAGTTTTTAAAAAAAAAAAAAACTAAAAATAGAAATGAATAACATTTTCAATCAACCCATAGGTAACATGTCATCGTCTATAAAAATAGTGACAATGCCAATTTAAGCAAAAAGGACAATCAAGATAGTGGTTGCCACTAGAAATGAAACAGACCAAATTTAAATGCTACCCGAAAGCAACTTAGTATCAGTCTTTGCATCGGTATGTGTATTGTGTGTGTGTGTCAGTGTGTGTGATAGATTATAGAAAAAGAGGGTACCTCAAAACCACTATAGAACTTTCCATCACCCAAGAGTTTAAAATGAACTTTTCTTCTTGATGGTTTGTCAAGAAGAGTGCACACAGAAACGGATGTTGCGCCTTTACTTTCCAAGTAAGAAATGAGATGGGAAATAGTGTTTCCTGTATCTACAATGTCCTCAACCTGAGAGCCATATAATTTCTCAATTATGTTAATCTTTAGAAGAGATAATTGGTTTAAAATGTAACATAAGAATGATCAAGATATTGCTACACTCTTGCAAATGAAGCAATTTATACATGAGTGTATCTATGAAATGAAACAAAATAGAGCAAAAAATTTGAAGTTTGTGAAGTCTAGATCAGAATTAACAGTTAGTAGTATGAACAATGTGAGCAATAGCAAAGAATTAAAGACCAAATTCACAAAAATGAGAAGATTAGCGAACTAGATCTACACCATCCTTTCCCAGACAGCAAAGACCTTGTAAATCAACCACGAATCGAACTCAATACTCTTCAAATTGAGAATTAACATGGACAGTTTTCAATTCCGTCACATAGCTTCTAATTAGTCGCACAATTTGTTAGAAGGTTCGTGTTCTTTTAGATAATCACGGATCCGAAAGAAATCGTAGAGAATTGTCACCCAAAGATAACATGCAGAACAATCGGAGCAGAGATATCAACTAAAAAAATAGAGAAGTACCAGAATGACATGTTTTCCGAAGACATCAAGTTTCACATCACATGAAATCTTCGGAGCACCATTGGAAACAGTTCCAGAGCCATAGGATTCAACTCGGACAAAATCGACGGTGACAGGCAATTTGATGTTGCGGACGAGGTCCGCGAGGAAGAGGAAGGCTCCGGTGGCAACACCGACGACCACCGGAGAAGAAGATCCTGGCGAAGAGAAATCTTTGTTGATTTGAGAAGCTAATTCGCAGACTCTCTGAATGACTTGCTCCGCCGTCCATATGACGGTGAGTATATCATCGTCAATGCAATGGCTCTCCATTTGGCTCCCCATTTGTCACTACTAGCAAGTCAAAAAGTTTATAAATTGTTTTAGGGCTTAGCTTTTCTATTTGCAATGGGGTATTTATAGCGGCTAAATGGAAACACAAAATTAGTTTGGGGTTAAAATTTTGAGAAGAATCTAAGGTGACATTTTTGGTTAATGATCATTTTTTTATGGGTTAACATTGATTTTTTATGAAATGAATTATTTAAATTGTCTTTAAGATCCTAAAAAATATAATTTATGATTATAT